ACCGCGCAGGCCAAGGCACAGGGCCACCTCGGCCTATCCACCTATTTGTCGTCCAAATACTGCCGCACTTGTAAAGAAAAGTGGGCTGGAGCGCCATCGTGTTGAAACCACGTGTTGGCTCTTATGTTCAGTGGCACATTTTCTAATAGTTCCGGTAGCACATGCTGTAAGAATCGACCATAAGCATGCCCATCCAAACGTGGTGGAAGCAAATATGGCCCGATGATATGCTCGTCCACAATGCCGCACCAGATGTTAATTGAAAACTATGTTGGTCTCTATGGATGGCTATGGCATGAGGGTTTTCTTCATCCCAAATGTGACTGTTACGGCTATTAAAATAACCGTCCTTTGTGAAACAGGACTCGTCAGTGAACAAAACGTAGCGACCAAAGTTTGGTTGCCTCAACTCCTGCTGCAGCCACCAACGACAAAAACGTCGACGCGGCAGATAGTTTTCTGGACCCATGGCTTGGACTTTTAAAAGGTGGTATGGGTGTAGTTGCTGGTCATGGAGAACCCGCCAAGCAGTAGTTTGAGACGCTCCCATTTCATGTGCAATAGCACGCACGCTTGTACGCGGATTGGCCTCTACATGATGCAGAAGCGCTGACACGAAGACGTCCATGAATCCTTGCAAAAATGACGTGATGCGGATAAGGACGTTCTGGAAACCGTTGGGCGTAGATTCACGAGGCTCGTCTTCCGTTACCACCAGCTTCTCCGTAAATTAAATGCATATCCGCAAGTTCCGCATACGAATAACGCTGCATTTTAACACTAAGGTACTGTTATTTACTATCTAGTTTGACGCACCACTCAGATAAATTAAATGAATCGGTGTGGAGAATTTACGATAACAAAAATGTAAACACAGCAGGCTTTTTTTACAAATCGGCGAGACCATGAAATGTGCTAGACGAACATTTTGCAGCTGTTGAATTTTTTGTTTCTCCTATGAGCTCTTAAGGTAAAATTAGCGGTAGTGCTCAAACGGCATATTTACGAACAGGGGTTTATAAGGCAAAATTGCATATTTTTATGCCCTCTACAACCCCTATCATTTTGTCGCAATCATTATGGAACACCCTGTATATCTACAGAATTCAGAAACGACCTAATTGAAGCGCAAAACAGAAGAAATGTGACAAAGGAAAAGCCGTTAGTGTAATGACATGTTAACCGGAAAACCGCAAAAACGCTAAAATTAGCGGCCCGCTCGACAACCGCCTGCAATGCAATGTCAATGCTCAATGACATATTTCGTTCCCGCCGGCCGCTGCGATCGGCGGCAAAATTCAGCCCGCGTCTTGTCGGCGGGAAAGCGGTTTGCGTTTTGCGGTTTGAGTGGGGGAAACATACACAAACTAACGCCTGGTGACAAATAGTTGTCTACTGAACCGCTGCGGGTTGCGATTTGTAGTGTGTTTCGTGATTTCGTCGAGGAGTCTGCAGAATCATGTCCACAGAAAACCTCATTGAGCTCGTTGAGATGCATCCTTCCATTTGGAACAAAAGTTGTGAGCAGTACAAAGACAGATACGAAAAAGAAAAGGCTTGGATCGAGATCGCCCGAAGGATCTTCCAAGATTGGGATACACTTGGGAAGAAAGAGAGGAATAAAAAATGTAAGTTGAAGGTACCAAATAATTATAAAGGTTAATAATTGAAAGTTAAAAAGTTTAAATGCGAATTTAATATAAAAAAAAGTCGATTGTTTGATCGTATATTGACTGACTAGCATTTATTTTCACCACATGAAAATTACGGTTAAATTTAGAAACAAATCTTTCAATTCTTTTTGGCATAATTTTAAAATTACTATTGATGTGCATAAGTGATGTTTTCACTTAAAAAAAAAGATTTGGCAATCAAAATTTAATAAAAATAAATAAAACGAAAAAATAACGCCTTGGGACACGGTTTTTACATGGACATGGGACATGGTATTTACCTAAAATTTTATTCTTATCATTCATCGTTTTTTATACGTAATTTTTTTCCGGGCAATGCCGAGTTTCTCAGATAATAGGTATTTTTTTAGAATTAAGTACATTGTAATACTTTAATACATTTATTCACAACTACGTGAACATCCTTGCAATTCAATAATTATACTCCTCTTAAAACGGGACGGCACCAATCCCAACAAAATAATCTGCGAAAAAATCGAGAACTTGTGTTCCTTGGTCGCGGGGCGCTGCACCAGTATTTATTACGTCAGGAAATGGAGAGATTTCACCTTCTTCATAATTGGCACCATCTCTTTGCCGAACGAAATTATGTAGGATGCAACAGGCTTTTACGATATCATCAATGAGCTCTGGTCATACCAAAATTGGTGTGTGAAAAATTCGCCATTTATTGGCTAATAAACCAAATGCACACTCGACTGAACGTCTGGCTCTAGAAAGTCGGTAATTGAAAATTCTTCGACGACCATCAATGTCACGTGCAGGAAAGGGCCTCATGAGATTTGTATGTATTTTAAACGCTTCGTCTCCAAGAAATACAAAAGGCTGAGGAGTGGAATCTGTTCCGGCAAGTTTCAGACACTATATCGGCAATCGTACTTCTTCCAATGTGGAATTCATATTGTAGAGCTGTGAAGGTATTTCCCGTGGCCAAGTATCTGCAAAAAGAATCGAAATATACCACTAATTCTAGTGCACGTGTTTTTGTGTCTTTGTTTTTGAAATTAATTATTCTTTTTTAGTGGATGCGTTGAAGAAGAAATGGAAGAACATCAATGATTCATTAAGAAAATATTTAGATACAAGAAGCGGCGATGCTGCAAAAAAAAGAAATATGTACACCTTGAGGCCCTGAGTTTCCTGCAAAACTCTGCTGAGAAAAGAAGGTTGGTCATTTAGTTGATGTTATATCATCTACAGTATATATCGTCATTTGCATCTCTTTTCAGCACAACGGGCAATTTCGACTCAGACATTTCAGAGGAAGAGGGCCACAACGAATCTGACATAGCCACAACTTCAGCGTTATCACTATCAGAATCCCATTCACCCATTTCATCCCCACACCCAGAAAACTCATCAACTCCAAAACAACATTCTTTTAGAAAGCCTAGTCGACCTGCCAAGATGACTCCTTTTCAAGAATCCCTTATAAAAAATCTCAGTCAGGCATCATCATCGATTACCCAAGCCAGAGTTGACGAAGATGCAGATCGTTTGTACCTACTTTCTTTACTTCCGGATTACAAAGCGTTATCTCCGAGTCAAAAGTGGGCATTCCGTGAACACGTAGGATACTTTTTCCGTCAAACTTTCGTACCTCCTACATCTACGCCTCCTCTGTCATTCCAAAACTACCGAACCACTTCCACACATTGTCCTCAATACTCCTATCAAGAACATAGTTCACTACCTTTCTCTCATAATATAACCCAACTTCAGAAACCCCCACAGCCACCGCAAACCTATCAAACATCATCTTGTAACATAGCACAAGAATCCACTCAAGTCACATTCTCTCCCAGTTCGTCTTCCCAATCACAGTAACGATATTACTATATTAAGTTGTATTATCAAGTATTTTGTTCACTTTTGATTTTTTTACAAATAAACTCGAGTTATGATTATTATTGATTATTTGAGTGTAATTTAAAACATTATTTATATAATATTTAAAATAAATAAGAAGTTATATACAGGGTGTGACTTCGAAGTTGAGTCATTTATTTTAACAGTGAGTAGATCTGATCAAAAGAAATGTTTTTTTCCTTTACCATTTTCCTGGTAAAATTAAAGTAACAAAGTTATAGCCCTTTGGAAGTTTGAGTACCGCCCTGTCTAATAATAATATTATGTGGTCGTGTTTGGCGACAACGGATATAATCCGCCGTATCGGTTCATCGCATCGGAAACAAAAAAGCGAAAGAATTTGGAACGACAATTATTTCATTCATTTGTATACAGTCAGTGTCAGTGAATAGTGGTATCTGTTGCGTGGCTCAAACGAAATAAAAAATGGCACATGTTTATGCGGATCGGTTTCCCAATCGAGTGCAACCAACCCCTCGTGCCTTTGTTAATGTAGTGCAACGGGCTCGTGAATCAGGTGACGTAAGGCCTCACAGGGGACCTCAAGATCAAATACAGGTCCGCACTGAAATACTTGTCGGGAGGATAGTTTATAAAACAAGGTAACATATTTTTTTTATTTTTTTTTTATTTTTACACACATATTTTGGTTTATCTTCCTTCTACAATCATTATCTGAAAATTAATGACTCAACTTCAAAGTCACCCTGTATATGTTTGGTTACCTGAGTGTGACAGTCACCTTTCTTCTGCGCTAATTGGCTTTTTGAAAGAAGTCTCCTGTTTCGTAATAAGTGGACGTAGAGCTCCAAGTAGTTCATCGAATGGCGCAATTGACATGCGATAGTACTCAAAAAATTTATCGGGATGCTTTCTGATGTCTTCCAAAAATTTGGGGCACTTCCTTGAACGTTCATTGTTATACGGGTGCACTGCATATCTGCGACTTTCTCCAACAGGCTTCAGCAGCACAAACAATTGCTACGTTAACAAAATGTGCGAGCTCCATACTTCAAAGCTAAGCTACAACTGATGACAAAAGTAGAATGTGGCCATTCAGGCCTCTACCCCTTGTCGCGCCGCCATCCACCGCCGCGCCGCCGCGCGGGCGACAGTATGTCATCAGACCAGAAAGCGGTTTTCATTCCCGCTACTTTTGGCGTTTTGCGGTTTCCCGCCTAGTATGTCATTACACTTAGGCAGAATTCACACCAAAGCAATGAGCAATCAGCAACTAGCAACAGGCGATAGGCAACACTTATCGCTTAGAAAAAACACACGTTGCTTGTGTTGTTTATTCACATCAAAACGACGACGATATTGTCCTATAGGTTATCTGTCGGCAACATACGATTTGTATCGGTAGCAACATCGACTGCCAGTCGCTAGAGATACGTATCGCTAGATCGTAAAGACTTATTTTAATAATTGTTTAAAATGGAAGAGAAAGAAAATATAATCTTTGTGCAAATTGTCGAAAAATATCCCTGTTTGTACGACTATACCCATCCCGAATATGCTAAACGTCAAGTTGTTGAAAAAACCTGGAATTTAGTGGCTAAAGAAGCAAAAATATCAGGTAAGAAAACAATGTTTTTTTTTATAAATATTTTATTGTTATCGGATGCTGCGAGACGAACGACTGTGATATATATTAAATCATATTGTTATTGGTTAATACAATCATTCCACTGCCAAGGGATTGCAGCTTCGGGCGTTACAAAATAATCAGCCAGATAATCTCCTAGTGTTATTGCTGAACTATTTTCATTAATTTCGGAATACGCTGACTGTAATAAAAGTGCAATCCGATTTTCTTGTGAGGTACATTCATCATGCGCTACACCTGACATTGTGAAACGTCCTTCCTTTATGCGGATAAAATTGTGTAGAACACAAGCAGATTTTATTATGTCATCAACACATTCCTCTCCACAAGCAATAGGAGTTTCAAAAACTCTGAATTTACTAACTAACATACCAAAAGAACATTCAACACTTTTGAGCCCTCGTGACAGACGATAATTAAATATTCTTCTTTTGTCATTTAAAACTCTTTGTGGATATGGACGCATAACGTTTTTCATTAAAGGAAATGCCTCATCAGCGCAAAAATAAAATGGAAATATATTATCCCGTCTATCACGTGGAAGAGGTTGTGGTGGTGGTACACTTAACATATTTTGAGAAAGCGGTCGGCCTAAGTTACTTGTTTTAAATACTGCGCCATCGCTGTTTCTTCCATAATCACCAACATCAATTGATATATACATTCCATCTGCGTCAGCTAAGGCCATCAAAACAACAGAAAAATATCCTTTATAATTGAAATTGTGTGATCCTGTTTTACGGAACTTCTTAATTCGGATGTGCTTTCCATCAAGTGATCCCATGCAGTTTGGTAGATTCCAAAGCGCATAGTACCGATCATCTACCGTTTTCCATTTTCTTTCGTCCAGTATCGGCATGTACAGGGGCTGTAGATATTTCCAAATTGCGGCTGTTATTTCTCTTATAATGTAGCTGATTGTACTGCATCCTCGGAAGAATTGAAAAGATAACGCTGCGAAGCTACTCCCCGTTGCTAAATACCTACAAATTTTAAATTATCAGTCTGGGTTCTTCTATAGAGTAGTTAATATAGCTCCATATAGATATTTTGTTACAGCAACACAATGTAAAGAGAAATGGAAGAACATCCGCACAGCATTCAGTCGAGCTCAAAAAAAACCTCGATCTGGCTCAGGAGTTAATAAAAAGAAATATTACCTTCAAGACGTATTGCACTTCCTTGTACCTTTCATTAAATCGAGATCTCAATCCGGAAATTTACTATCCCCTAGCAGTGAAAATGACCCTGCCACTGACACAACGAATATGTCGGATGTAAGTACTCAGGAGAATGAGGATCAATATTCTCAAAGTCAGAACGAAGGTGATGTGGAAACTCAGGCAAATACCTCTGAGCATCATACAGAGACCCCACATTCATCTAAGCATTCCAAACTTGCTACTGAAAATTCACAAAAAAAAGTTTCGCAAAACTCCTGCTACATATTCAACTTCAGCTGTCGAAAGTGAAGCTGATAAGTGTTTTGTGGAATATATAAAGAGGCAAAGCACAGCAGAAGACGCCGATTTGGAATTTCTTCGGAGTCTTTTACCAGATGTTAAAAAAATGGATCCTAGGCGAAAGCGAAAATTCAAAACGTCTATGCTTCAAATGATTGATAATATTTTGGGTGAGCAAGAGAATGAAGCGCTACATACACCATCAGCACTGAACTCCTGGAGTAGCAGTGGGCCAAATTTAAACGAGACATCTGTTCCCTCAACAGTGACGTCCTGGCTTGATAATCAGCACCGTACAGATTTGGATCGGGCGAATACCCATTCCAGAACTCTTTCAAACTGTGACGAAAATTATCAAAATTTAATAAGTGTTCCTGGAACGTCTGCAGCCCAATATTTTTCGACATATCAAATGAATGAGTCCACGTTGTAAACTTTTTTGTAAAATAACTAAACCACGAATACCTAATTAAAGTGTATAACTTACCTTAAAGTAATAAGAAGGCGTTCATCTGCACTCACTGCCTCTCGGTAATTGGTATCTTTTTTCGTAATAAATGGGGCAACTAACGACAGTAAAGAAAAAAAAGTATCTTGATTCATTCTGCAGAATCCTTTGAATTTTTCATTATCCATATTTAATTCCTTAGCAACCACATGTGCATTGTGTTTTATACTTTGTAGATTAAATGGACGTATCCAATAACGACGTTTTGCTTTCTTTTTGATACACTTTTTTCTACGCATTCGCCTAAGCATATAATAAAGAATTATAACCTTATCAACGGGCATTTTATCACCCCGTCTGACCACAAATTCGCGTTTTTCTAGGTGCTGGTAGATAATTGTTTGCCGCTTGGTGTGAATTCAGAACCGATGCGATATCACATGTTGCATGTTTCAAGTTGGTAGTTGCTAGTTGCTCATTGCTTTGGTGTGAATTCTGCCTTAGAGTTCGAACAGCCTAAGGTTATGCCCGCTACGTCATCGTATCCTATAAGAATATAGGAAATTGTTGTGACAGTCTCTGGTAAGATTTATGGACATCTGTTACCGCCCTCTTAAGGCCGGCCATACATGTAACGGTTTACCGGAAAGGTTTACCTGAACAGGTCACCTGTACAGGTAAACCGTAGCGTGTATGTCAGCGTCTGCAGGCAAAGGTACACAGGCGAAGCGACCTGAACAGGCGACCGTAGTGCCAGCCACTCACGTTCCGGTAGACCTGAGAGGTATGCCTGCACAGGCGTGCCTGTACAGGTATACTGCAACGTGTGTGTGAGCAAACCTGCGCAGTTCGGAGCAACTGTGCAGGTGACCGGAGCAGAATTGAAAATCGATTCGGTGTACCTGTGCCAGAGTGTTGTCGTACGATGTACCGGAACGTGTGTGCCGACTAACCTGTACAGTTCGTCAGTTTTTTCGGTAATTGGATACGAAGGCCACTTGTTTTTTTAATAAAATGGCGTTAAGTACGGAAGAACAACGTCGAATAATTGCTGAGTTTATAGAAATTTATAAATTTTCGCCCTGTTTATGGCGAATTAAGGCGAAAGAACATCATGATCGTGCAAAAAGGGATGCAGCATATAAGACACTTGTGGAGAAACTGAAAGAATTAGATCCTACAGCCGATAAAAATGCTGTAATAAAAAAAAATAATAATCTAAGAAGCAATGTAAGAAAAGAGAAAAAAAATATGAACATTCTGTTAAGTCGGGAACATCCGCAGATGAAGTTTATCACCCTAAGTTGTGGTAATACGACTTATTTGTCTTTCTTGGTGACCAAGAAACGCCAAGAAATTCCACATCGAACTTGAATGCAGATGAGGAGACTTTATCTGAGGTAAATTAATAAAACACAATCTATTATTATTTATATTCATTATATATTTAGTTAATATAATTGTTTTGCCATGGTACGCTGCCCTCATGATTAAAGTAATACATGAAATTTTCCCTAACATTTTTTGCTGTATCATTGATATTGCCGGGGTTTCGTTGCTCTAAATTTTCCATGCTAGAGTTTTGTGTATTGTATCCATAATTAATAACGGTTCCGTCAGCATTTTCTTCTTGAACACATTGTTTAGGTGCGTATGATTTTGGTGAATTTTCTATTAGAAAATTGTGCAGCACAACTGCGGCCATTACTATTTTAATAATGTTTTCAGGTTCAACATTAATTTGAGTATGAAATATACGAAATCGTGCAGCCAATATTCCAAACGTATTTTCGATGATGCGCCTTGCACGAGAAAATCTATAGTTAAATATTTTTTTCTCGTTCGAGTTCAAGTCCGCTTGTCGAAATGGTTTACCATCATATCGCTGCGTAAAGCAAAAGCGTCGTCGGCGACAAACACATACGGCAGATTCCTACCATTTCCTTTGACATATTCTTCGGTTGGGATACGTAAATCACCTTTTGTCAACATTTCGAAAAATTTTGTGTTTTGGAGAACACCTCCATCCGAAATTCTTCCATTGGTCCCAAAATCTGCTAAAATAAATTGATATTTGGCATTTGCAATTCCTAAAAGAACCATACTGTGTCGGCCTTTATAATTAAAAAATTCAGAGCCACTTCCAGCCGGCGGAATGATGTCAATGTGCTTGCCGTCGATTGCGCCCAAACAGTGTGGAAAGTTCCATCGTGCCTCAAATAAATCTGCTATTTTTTTCCAATCTTCCTGGCATTTTGGAAACTGAAAAAATAAAACAATAAAATTACAATGTTTACAAAATTACAAATAAATATAATATTACAAATAAATACTAAGTATATATTACAAATAAATACTAAGTAATATTATTTTAATGTTATAATATTGTTTATTTTAGGTTGAGTCAGTACAAGAAAACGTTGACTCGGAATGTCCATCTCAAGCACAACCTACAACAGATGGTACCGAATCGCTAACGCAAAATGAGAAGGTTGCGTGTTCTTCAAAGAGTGGCACAGTGACTATTTCTCGATCAAGGCCAGGAAAAAACAACTACGATTCTTTAACCAAGGATGTTTTGACCACTGTGCAAGAACATTTTAAGCGTCCACGTACAGAGGAAGACCGTTTTGATGTTTTTGGGAAAACTGTTGCTATGAAACTAAGAGAAGTGGACAAAAGGCATAGTCTAATTGCAGAAAAAATAATCAACGATGTAATATTCGAGGCTGAACTGGGCGGCCTTACACTGCAACATAGATGCGTTAACATGCAGGAAATGTATAATGCAAGAAATCCTAACATGCAGCAACACCAGCCACTTATATTGCCTTGCCAGTCGGCTTCCAATTCTACATCATATTCGTCCTCTACCAGCTTTATTAGTACTCCTGCTACAAGTCTAAATTGTCAATTCCAACAAAACAATTCAACAAACCAACAACAACTGTCTTCTGATGATGTAGTGGTTGTACGATTGAACAATACATCTGCTGCTTCTTATTTTACCGAATTCACAGACGATCAAGTGGTAAAAGAATTTTGAAATCCCCTTAGATAAGGAAATCCTAAAGTGCACAAAAACCCTGTTTTTGCCAACTTTTAAGGTTATGTACACCCGCATACTTTTTTTTAAATTCTTGAAAATGTACATTCAGGCTCCTAAAGTACAAGTCATCATCTATCAAATAATGCCGTTATTAATAATAATTATTAATATTCCTACTTAAATAATTTGTAATAAATACGTTTTAAAAAATAATAATTTGTCTTTTACTTACTTTCAAGTATTGTTTGCGCAGAACTTTATACAAAGCATCACACGTTTCGGGAATTATTTTTCCCAGGGCCTGAGGTGAAATAATTGTAGAATACTTCAAGTCTTCATAACTTCTTCCTGTTGCTAGGAATCTTAGAGTTGCAGTTAATCTTTGATGAGGTGAAATGGATTTTCTCATTACAGTATCCTTCTTTATAATAAAAGGACTCACCAAAGAAAGCAATTTTTAATATGTTTTCTCATCCATTCGTAGATAGTTTTGAAAATCTTTAGGTTCAAATTTTAACTCGTTCAATAAATTGACGTGACTGTAACTTTTTCGCTTTAGTATCCAATCTTTGCACCATTTTTCCCGTTTTTTCCTTACACGTTTATTTAAAGTCAATAAGAGTGCTAGCACAGCCAATGCATCATCACCTTTCGACGCCATCATCAACTGAACAAATTCTAGAATTTCACCATAGCGTGTGTGGGCTTGTCAGGTCTTCGGTATACCTGTACAGTTTTACCTGCACAGTTGTACCTGCACAGGTCTACCGGAACGTGAGTGGCCAGCTTAGAAGAATGAAAAATCAATTCTTTCGACCTGTGCAGTTGTGCTTTCCGGAGCGTGTGTGCCGCTTATCGAATGCCTGCGCAGTTATTATTTCAGTTTGTTGTTGAACGTTTATTATTTCAGTTTGTTGTCTGTTTACGTTGCGTTATTTATTAAGTTTTTTGTGGAATTATATGGAAGATATGTCAGGACGGAAAAGTAATGAAGTAATAGAACAGTTTATTGAAATATATAAATCTGAACCTTGTTTGTGGCGAGTAAAAAGCAAGGAATATCATGATCGCGACAAGAGAAATGCAGCCTACGAAAAATTGGTGATAAAGTTAAAGGAGTTGGAGCCCGATACTACAAGAAACTCGGTAGTAAAAAAGATTAACAATTTGAGAAGTAACGTACATAAAGAGAAGAAGAAACATGATATGTCAAAGAAGTCTGGAGCATCAACAGACGATTTGTACATACCGAAACTGTGGTACTACAACTTATTCGATTTTTTGGGAGATCAAGACATGCCTAGTTCGTCTGTTTCAAATTTGGATGACGACGATGAAAGTGACAAAGTAAGTAATCAATTAAATAATAATACTAGAATTTATTAAATATTTTTTAAATGATACATATTTTTTCACTTCTTATTTTTAAGAATGCGACTTTCCTGCCAAGAAAGTTTACCTTCATGCATAAAGTAGGAACTGAATTTATCTCTTAACTGTTTAGCAGTAGAATTCCAATTTCCTTGGTTTTGACGTTCCAATGCGATCATGTTCGATTCGGAGGTATCCAAGCCGGTGCATATAACTTCCCCATCATAATTCTCCTGATATGTATTATTTGGATGCACATAAGTGGTTGGTTGTTATTGCATCAAGAAATTATGCAAGACACACGTTGCCATCACTACTTTTGATATGTTTTTTGGTTCTAAATTGATTTGTGTATGGAATATACGAAATCTGGATGCAAGTATTCCAAACGCATTTTCCACAACATGCCTTGCTCTGGAAAGTCGGTAATTAAAAATCTCTTTAGAAGCTGAGTCTAGCTGAGCTTGTCGAAACGGCTTCATAATATTCGTTGCTAGGGGAAAGGCATCATCGGCCACAAACACGTAGGGAATTTGTTTGAAATTATCGGAGACATTGCTAGGGTCTGGAATATTGAGGTTATTACTGAGCAATCTCTCATGAAATGTAGTATTTGAAAGAACACCTCCATCTGAAATTCGGCCATTAGTTCCAAAATCCACTAAGAGAAACCGATATGTAGCATTCACTATTGCGAGCAGTACCATGCTGTGTCTGCCTTTATAGTTAAAGTAGACCGATCCGTTATTACCTGGGGGAACTATATCGATATGTTTGCCATCCATGGCTCCGAGACAGTGTGGAAAATGCCATTTTTCCTGAAACATTCCTGCAATTCTTTCCCATTTTTCAGCAGAATCAGGAAACTGAAAAAAAAAACATTATGATATTTGTGTTCCCTAAATTTATAATTATAATTTGTCAAATTTATTAACATTATATGCTTATTTAAGCTGAAGTTAATAAATTTGTTTGCTATTATTGCTGTATTGTTGTACAAAAAAAATCGGTTGTCGATTTTGAGCATTTGGGTCCAATAATATGTATATTTGTTGCAGGAAATGATCGAGGAACCAGCCCCAACATCTTGCGTGAATGAAGTAACATTAACCACAGAGAAAAACGAGATTAGTCCAAAACAAGCAAGGTCAAGTGAAAATGGACGCTGTAATGACTCCAACGAACGCGGGCGACTTCCTGGGTCAAGACCTGATCTGTCAAAGAAAAGAAGAAGTGAGGAGCTGTCAAATGATGTTTTAGTTTCGGTACGTGATCATTTCAAGAAGCCTCGGCTACAGGAAGATCGTTATGATCTTTTGGGTAAAAGTATTGCAATGAGAATCAGATCTCTGGATAAACGTCAGGGTTTAATTGTTGAGAAAAAAATTAATGATATATTATTTGACGCGGAAATTGGCATGCTGAATGCGCCATTACACCCATCATATAATAATCCTCAGTATTCGAACCCTACAGTGAGCAGTCCCATGAGCAGCCCCGCTTCATACACCAGCACACCCTATGTCTCGCCATCTTCTAATTATGATCAACAAGGTACACAGTCAACAGTGGCAGGTTGTACGAGCCAGACAAGTTTTGCAGGTACCTATTTCTCGCAGTTTGATGCAGATAGTATGTAATTTTTTTGTTGGAGGCATTAAATAAAAAACTTTACGGCAAAAAAAATAATTTAATTTATATTTGTTTGTTATTGTACGTACCTGAAGATAGTCCTTTCGCAACACTTTATATATAGCTTCACATGTCTCTGGAATTATTTTACCAAGAGCTTGGGGCGATATTATAGTAGAATACTTGAGACATTCGTATGACCGGCCAGTTGCAAGGAATCTTAAGGTTGCTGTCAATCTTTCATGGGCGGAAATTGCAGCTCTCATAACTGTATTGTTCTTTTGTATCAAAGGGGTTACCATTGACAATAATTTTTGGTAGACTTCCTCGCTCATCCGCAAATAATTACGGTAATCCATTGGTTCGGAACTTAATTCTTGTAGTAATTTTGTATGGGTGTAGTAATTCCTTTTCAAAAGCCAATCTTTACACCAGGTTTTGCGTTTTTTTCTTTGTTTTTAAAAAAAATTAGTCGCCACTACTAAACCGATCAAAGCGTTCGCGTCATCTTCTTGATTGGTCGCCATCTCGAACTGAACTGAATCCCTCCGTTTTTTACCGTAACGTGTGTGTGCTCTTTTGCCTGTGCAGGAATACCTGCAGAGTAACCTGCGCAGGCCTACCGTACAGGTAAACCGTTACGTGTATGGCCGGCCTAATGTGGTCCAGTTCTAATCGTGGCGAATATTTATATCGTAGAAAGCTTAAAAATGTATGTGGTCTTCAATATCCAGAAATTATGTTGCTGTTGACGCTGTTAATGGCTCCCACACACGCTGCGGTCTACCGGAGAGGTATACCTGTACAGGTATGCCTGCACAGGTAGACCGGTGCGTGTGTGGGAATAGACCTGCGCAGGTTTCTGGACCTGCGCAGGCGACCGGAGCAGAATCGAAAATCAATTCTTTCGACTGGCACGGTAGGGTGTACCTGTGCGTGTGTGGATGTACTCCGGTCGCCTGCGCAGGTCGCTTCAGTCTTCTAGTCACTGTTGCGCGCGAATATTGCTCCGCTTTGCTCCAAATGCGAAAATGGCGCCATCAGATTCCGTTAGAAAAGTGTTGGAAGAATTCATTGATTTATATAGAACTCATCCGTGCCTCTGGCAAATAAAAAATAAAGAATACCACGATAGGGATAAAAAAGAAGCAGCCTATAAATTACTGGTTGATAAATTGAAAGAAATAGAACCAGATGCTAGCAAAGCGGTGGTTGTAAAAAAAATTAACAACATGAGAAGTAATGTTAGAAAGGAGAACAAGAAATTTGAACAGTCTTTAAAGTCTGGGGCATCTGCCGATGATGTATACTCTATTAAGCTATGGTACTACGATTTATTTAACTTTATTCAGGATCAATGCACTCCAAGGGAATCTTCATCAAACTTGGTCAGTGATGACGAAAATAGTTGTGAGGTAAGTAAACTATCTTGTACATAGTAATTTTTATTAAATTGTATATAACACATTATCGCTTACATTTGAGATTACACGATAGTTCAAGGCTATTTGAAACTACTTCGTTAATTTACATGATCATCTTGCCATGGTACTCTTCCCTTCGCATTAAAATGATTCATGAAGTCTTCTCGAACAGTCTTCGCGGTGTTCAAAGTATTTCCTGGGTTTCTTCTTTCTAAATTTTCCATCGTACTATTTTTTGTATCATATCCTTCCGAAATTATAGTTCTGTTTTCAGAGTTCTCTCGATAGAAACATTTTAGAGATGCATAAGACTTTTTTGAGTGTTCAATTAAAAAATTATGTAACGCACAAGAAGCTTTAACTACTTTATCGATATTTTTGGGTTCTAAATTTATATGAGTATAATATATCCGAAATCGTGATGCCATAATGCCGAAAGCATTTTCTACAGTGCGTCGGGCACGAGATAATCTGTAATTAAAGATTTTTCTTTCTCGGGATGTTAAATCTCCCTGGCGAAACGGTTTTATCATATCGGGGCGTAATGGAAAGGCGTCGTCTGCCAAAAATACATATGGCAAATGTAGGTTACTTCCTGTTATTGTTTCACTGCTTGGAATATGTAATTCATTATTTTCTAATTTTTCAAAAAATACAGTATTTTGTAGTACCCCTCCATCGCATATTCTACCATTCATTCCAGCATCTATGTACACAAATTGGTATTTTGCATTAGCAATTGCCATAAGAACCACACTATGATGCCCTTTATAATTATAAAAATATGATCCACTATTACCCGGAGGAACAATCGCAATGTGCTTCCCATCTATTGCACCGAGACAATGAGGAAAGTTCCATCGTTCTTCATACATCTTTGCTATTTCTTTCCATTCTTCTTCAGATGTAGGAAACTGAAATACATAGATAACGGTATTAGCCAATGTTCCAGCATTAAAAACTAACTACTCATTCTATGTATATATATATATATATATATATCATTTTTGTTTTTGTTTTCAGGGAGAAAACTCAAACAACACGCAAGATACTACAACATACATCAATAGTGAATCAACAACTAACAATAGTGAATCAGAATCATCAAATCATCATTCATCTCGCCCACCGAAACCGAGTAAATCAAAAAGACTAGATGATTCCTTCGCCAACGAAGTTTTGGTTTCGGTGCGAGACCATTTTAAGCGTCCACGAACAGAGGACCGCCGCGATCTTATCGGGAAAGATGTGGCCATTAAACTGAGGGCGTTAGATGCCAAAAAAATACTAGTAGCCGAAAAACTTATAAATGATTTATTATTCGAAGCAAAAATCGGACATCTGACTCCCGATCATGCCTATATAAGCATGCGAGATGTTTTGAAACAAAATAATCAACGAAACTATGTTCATGGGACGTATACTCCTGTAAGCTTTGTTGCTTCAGGAAATCCTAGCCCACCTTGCCTTCCCATTCCCAGTCAACATTCCGAGCAATATTACAAACTAGTCATCTACTCAACAGTCATCATGTCATCCCCTACTCACAAATGCAAACACTTACACTTTCAAGAAATCAACCCGGTGAAACAGAAGTACTGGTATCGATTCCAGATTCTGCAGCATCATTCGTTACAACCTTTAATGCTGATACATGATTTATATGCGACAATGACTTTTGTGTAGTTTCTTAAAGTTGTGAGTTCCTTAATAAATGAGTGCAATTAATAACAAAAAGTTTGAATTACTCACCTTCAAATAACCTTTTCTGAGAACCTTATACAAGGCCTCACATGTCTCAGGAATAATTTTTCCGAGCGCTTGAGGTGAAATAATTGATGAAAATTTTAGGTCCTCGTAACTGCGGCCGGTTGCAAGAAATCTTAAGGTAACTGATAGCCTTTCGTGCGCAGAAATACTATTCCTCATAATTGTATCCATTCTTGTTATCATGGGCGTAACCATTGCAAGTAATTTTAGGTAGGTATTCTCGTCCATTCTGAGAGTTTTTAAAATCTTCAGGTTCGAATTTTAGCTCATTCAATAGGTTAACATGACTATAGGTTTTCCTCTTCAATAGCCAATGTTTACACCACTTTTTTCGCTTTTTTATCACTGTTTTTGTATGTTTCTTCTTCAAAATGACCCCAAGGCCTATCAATGCCAGCGCGTCATCGTCCTCGATCTTTGCCATCGTGGAAAGAACTGTAGACCGCTCCGGTATACCGTTTTTTAGTATGTAGATACGCAAGTTTCAGTCAGTTGAGATTGTTGACACAATTGCGATCTGATGAGACGTTTGTTCGATTTATTTATTTTTTTATTTATTAACCATATGTTACGGAAAAATAGTGCAGCGTATACTGGGACGGCACTGGGAGAAGATTAGACGCTGAATCATAGGTACACACAGAAGTGGTACCGGACAAAAACATGTAAATATATGGGGCAGAACAAATCGAGCGTTGTTGCGGAGCGGATCGTTTCATTTAAACTCCCAAACATCGTCTTATTTGCATTCGTAATACATATATTTTATATTTGATAGTGTTGAAAATTATTAATCTTATGGGGTTTGTGGATATTTGATGGAGATCCATAAATCAAAATATAAAATAGTGAGCAGGTACAAAAATCTGCAATCGAAGTTGCACATACCTCCTTCATCTTCTGGCCCCCCAAAATACTGAACTGCAACGTCGCATTAGCGCCTAAGGTGGTTGAGCAAGTAGTGGCGAAATGATATGGACTATAGAAGAGTAGCGTCAATCCGTCGTTGAAACAGTTTTTGGCGAGGTGTCTGAAATTACATTGTGGTATACCAAATCCTACATGCAGTTAAACTGTGATGTCTGTGGTATAGCAGCTAGTCAGGAGGAAGGTAAACATCAAGGAATGAAGATCACCTGAAGGTAGTTGACCGCAAAACACGGGATTGTTTTACGCGTGGCTAAACTAGCAGGAAGTGGGGTGCTAATATTTCGATGCTCCGCTAATGATGTAAAGGCGACTATTGTTATTCTAACATATTTGGAATTTGAGACATCGTCGCTTAAGTTGTAACACCACTAAACGCAAAGAATAACTTATGTATTTGCTTAAATAAGCCACCGTGAATGCCGGAATGTCATCAGTAGGCACTATTAGCTTATGAGGTTTCATTTGCGACTATACAAACATGGAGGATTATAAGATCATTCGATAGCGACTCCAAAGGCCCACCGTTCTTTTATGCTCTCCTAAAAAGTTGTTAGTTTAAAGTTACATCGTGCTGGAACTCTTTATTGAACAACTAAATTTTTGTGATTCATGACAGGGTAGTACCAAAAAGAAGAAAATACGATACAAATTTGTTATTTAGTTTTGCATTCTACATCAATGATTATTGCCAAACAATTCCAAAGCAGACCGTTCAAGTATATTGCGAGAAAATAGATGTGATGTTCCATTTCTTTATTTAATTTTATACTTTTCAGTCTACATTATTCATGTTCCCTGAAAAATAAATACGAACATACAAAAAACAAAGTGATTGTGATTGCACACAGTTTGGAAAATCTGCTTTCTTTTCTGGTTACTATGTTTAGCGCTCTTACACTCATTTTCAAACTTGTGACCGAACAATAATCCATTCCAACCTGTTACAATCAGTATAGTAGTTACTGATATTGCACAATGTCAAGGAAACTAGAACGACAGGTGGGTTATAGACAATGGGTGGAACGCTAAAGCACTCTATTTTACAAGCCTATTTTCCAGAAAATGCTATTTATCATATATCGTGTAGACAGAAAAAATAATAATATGTATTACCCCGTATAAACTCAGTTACTCTATGACATGCCAAACTAGGCATTACTCTGTTGAAATCAATAAAATTAAAAGTAGGGAACCCATTCAGGTGAACCATCCGCCTGTAACCTTTCTTCCTTTTATTTGGATATCTTGGACGCCTCCAGGCAGTAAATCAAAACCAAAAAAAAACCTATTGTATACCGGCATGTGTATGGGTGTATCTATCCAGTTGAAGGGTGGATGTAAAGCTGGACATACACGCTCAGCAGACTGGTTAACTAACTATTATGGATATTCAGATTCATGATTCTGCCACAATATGATCTGTATGAATATTTTGGTGAACAAATCATAATCAACTGTCTCTACCCACAATCCGCCGATACACGGCGCGAATTCGTACCTAAAATCTCCCAGCATTTGAGAAGCTTCATTCCATCCAGGGCCTTTGATTTCTTACCTTTCGTCTTTCACTCATACGCAATTGGTCTATCAAATGCTCAAGTTGATGATTCCATTATTACCAACGGCAGATAATGATATATCAATTTTCCTATTTTTAAATCTTCAGAACACAACACTTAAAAATACGAAATATACACACTCCTTAAAGTGTTTTGAAGGGTGCTCCATCTAAAATTTCTCTAAGAATTCTAGTTGCTACGCTCAAAACTCTTATTGTTATTGTAACCTGTTTATCGCATGTCCTTTCGGTAAACATTACCGTGTATGTTTAGCTTTTGCTTAGAGTGATCCATCAGACGGCGGTAAAGGACATCAAAGAAATAAACCGGCAATAAATTATACTCGATAAAAGAGGGACGCACTACCTAAAGACAGGTCGCAGGACGACGTGTTTCTGCTCCCCTGATTACTCATTGCCGACGGTCGGTTTAATAACTGGTCAGTCAGATTCCCAAACAGAGATTGAGAGATGAATTTTTCTATGGTAGGTCAAATATATTTGGTATTCAATAGACAAGCCAAAAATTGAAATGATTATGGAGTATATATTATATATACATATATACAGGGATATATATATATATACCTATATAATATATCGAAGCAGTCGCGGAGGCAGAAGCCTAAATGCCGAAACACCGCGGCTGCTATGATGATCCTAAAGAAATTTTGTTAATACGATTTTTGAACTGACTAAGGTTAGTAGAACTGGGAAAAGCTTCCTCTTGTAGATTGTTCCACAGTCTCAAAACTCTCGAGATAAAGGGGCGGTCGTATCGCCTAGTTCTGGATGAAAGAAGCTCGACACGGTTAGGATGGGACGTCAAAGTTAGGCGGGTCTATCTGGCAGGCACATCGCGCGGCGGCATCATGGAAGAGAGCTCCGAGGAGCAAAGCCCGTTGGTGTAGCGGCGGAAAAGAACTAGATCGCCGAAGGCCCGCCGATGCATAGTGTATCGTATAAAATAATAAAAACAAACAGTCAATTCCATTCAATTAAAACAAAAATAATATCCTTTAAAATACAAACAAGTAATAAATCAATTTAGAATTCTCCAAAAAAAAAAAACAGTTTCTGTATAAATCCATAAACAAAAGTAACAAATAAACAAACACATTCTTATAAAAATCTAATACGGGCCACGTCACAGTCTGAAAAAATGACATGTTGTTATACAAAATAGATTTCCTGTATACAGTGAAAATGTTTCTGTACTATACGAGTACACTGAAAAAAACCTCCGCCCTATTCCCCAAGTTGGGAATATCATTTCAAAGCGAAGCCTAACTAAGTTTTTCAAAAAGCTTTGTGAAAACAGTTTAGCTACAGTTTGCTTGCAGTGACAAAAAGCACAACAGGAAAATGAACTAAAAATCAGGCCGAATTTTTTTCTTAGGATGCGATTGGAGGTAATAATAGCCAGCCTTCTAAATGCTAAATCCACTAAACGTAAGAGTCAAATAGCAAAATACGACTTTTTTTTCTAGCTAATGTCAATCTCTTTGTGAGCCAAAAACACAAAATACAGCTTTTGTCTTTGAGGTGCCTGCCGCCGACTGCATAAGCGTACCCGCTGGTTGTTCCACTTCCACATTCATAAGAAAAAAATACATGGATTACTCTTAATACCTATTGAAATTTAAAATACTATTTTGTTTCTCAAATGTCTGGTAAAATTTTATGACTAAAAACATGATAGTTTCTTTGATTAATGCATTAATTTGTAAATTGAATCAAGAGGGACTTATTCATTTCTTATTTACTTCGTCGCCGCCGCTGGCTGTGTGTAATCCCAATGATATTAGAAAGAAGCGCGGAACTCTTTGAGCTAGGCCCACGCCTCTGTTCCTATTCTGGTATCGACACAGCGGCGTATTCATGGGAGGGCTTTGGAGCTCCTCGGAGTATACCCTCTCAAAGCGCAACAGCTCATTACGCTTGTTCTACATATTATACATGTTACGTAATACCTTCTGTGAAGTGTAGCTACCTAGACTAAGCGAGTCCCCCCCCTCTGCTATGCAGTTTTATATCTCTAAGACACCCCTCCCCGCCCGAGACGGAATTTTCGTGTCACCCTGGATCTTGAGCCTCCCCTCAGATCTTTTCCTGGATAACACCACTGGTTGAGCAATATCTCAAGCTACAGGAAACAATTAATATCGCAAAATCGACCACAACAGTGGCTCCTACAAATCATTTTTATGGGCACATTTCAAATTTCCGTCATCGGACTAAACAAAAGTCACAGATGAATAAAATTAACAAATCATAACTGATCATAATTGTTCGTATTAGCAATGGGATTTCTGGAAAAGGAAAAATTCTATATATTTGGTTTCTGCCTAAAGGGTCTGAACCTACCAGTATGTCTACAAAGTAAGAAGCATGTAGACACAGAAAGTGGTTAAACTACATACTGGTGAAATACTTTTCAGAGCTAATGAAATTAGTTGCAAGAAGGATATATAGCCAGCGCTAATTTCGTAAACTAAACGTTTTTCATATTGATATTTTAGATGAGAATGTTCAGTTTCCAAACGTAACTGTTCGGTAGCCTAGCACTTACGGCATGTCTATTCAATATCAAACATCCAACCTACCATATCAGAATTAATCAAACAACCTGCTTCTCCCTGAATATTGAAATTCGAAAGAAATATTTTGCTTTTCACAAGCCTGGAGATATATTACAAATAAAGATGTAATCTGCTTTGAAAATCACACCATATTGGGAATTTAATTAATCCTACACCTGATCAACAGCAATAACCCACCGCCACTGGAGGCAACCAAGCCACGCGCCTCTATAGAATGCGGTACCTTTTATCTATAATTTATTGCTCGGACATTTTACCTTCTAGTATCAATCCTGCTTTTTAGACCGTCTTCGGTGCTAATACAACGTTGCAATTCGGTATTTTTGGAGGCCAGAAGATGCAAGAGGTATGTGCAAGTTGGATGGCTCATCTTTGTACCTTGTTATATGAACCAACTAAATAACTGCTCTTTTATTTTTTATGTATCATCTGCTTTCATAATGTAACTTAACGTTATATAAATCAGGTTATCTATTGCACTAAAGAAAATACTGAGCTTAGCATATTTTTTTATTATAAATACGCTGTATGCATTTGATGATTCACTTGATATTCATATGTCATGAATGTTAGTCAATAAAGAGTGTTGGAAGCTGACTTCGTGTATTCCTGCGGAACCAAAGGGACTCCCACAAACGACACTGGCGCAGTCAAGTAGGATTTCGTCACTGGTTCATCGAAGGAACTTGTGAACCTGGTGGACCCCAGATCCTTCAGACGGAGACGATCCTGAGCAACCACACCCGGAGACGATCCCCGAGCAACCACACCCGGAGACGATCCCGAGCACTCAAGGCCCTACAACCACACGGAAATACTGAGTAAGTCCGAGTATTCCAATACTCCCCGCACTTTTTCTATCTCTGAACAAGAGTTGTGATAGTTAACACGTTCGCTACCAGCCGTCTCATATGTGAGCCGCAGCGATTCTTGTTACAGACCAGCGTCTCACATATGAGCCAGGTGGTCGATTGTACTCAATGAACGTATAAATCGTTTAGGCTACAGATAGCGGCTTGAAATTTTGATGCGGTCTATGGATAGGTCCGACGCATATTTATGTGAGTCGCTTGGTCTCAGATAAAAATAAAAATTGTAGTTTTGGTGCGAATGTTTATGTGACAACACGTGCGTTGCTTTGGCTCCATATTTTTTCATTACGTAAGTAGTTTTATTTTATAAAGCTTTTATAATTGGACTGTAGAGCATGCCAGACAACTGAAACGACATAAATACTGAACAAATTGAAACAATAGGTTATGTTATCAGAACACCTGTTTTTTAGGTTAAGTACCATATGATCTGTTGAAAGTGTGTAAAAGAATATCGTGTCTGTTGGTCCCGGTCGCGACTACATTGAGCTCCTTTGTTTGCTGTGGATAATCCTTTATATTTTATTGTTATTACGTGAAAGTAAGCAATGTGAGTAATACCCTAAGATTCAACATCCCTTCAAAATTGAATTACAGGTGTCCTACATGATGTCACGTCCTCTGACAGCAGATGAGCTTCAAGCTGAGGTCGATGCAATTATGAACGAACCAAGTGATGAGGAAACGCCTGAAGAACCGTTTCAAGACTCTGGCAGTAGTTACCATCCATCATGTGAATCGGACTCCAGTGATGAAAATGTAGTTAGTGGTGAGGACTATGAACATTCTGATGTTAGTGATAGCCGTGAAAACGGTTCACGCAATCCACCAGCCAACGAAAGGCTAGCCACGACCGAAGATATTTCATGTTGGACAGAGATCAACGACCAACCAAAAATTCATGACTTTACGGGAATTGAAGGTATAAAAGTGAATATTCCGGCAGATTCTTCTGCATGTGAGGTATTTAGGCTTCTGTTTGATGACACTCTAATCGGGAAACTGTGTGATTGGGCTAATCTTCGGGCAATGGAGATTGTGGGAAATGTATTACAGAAGCATTCTACAATGAACAGGTGGAAGCCACTTTCTTCTGAAGAGTTCCGCCGTTTTATTGGACTTTGCATTCTAATGGGACAAATAAAAATGCCCAGCATCAAGCACTACTGGAATACTAAGCCACTCTATGCCCATCCAGTTTTTGGCAGAGTAATGTCAAGAAACAGATTTGAACAGATTTTGAGGTGCTTGTGTTTTTATAAGAGAGAAGATGAAAGAACATCCCGTTTACGCAAAATCGAACAGGTTGTGAACCACGTTAGAGAAAACATACAGAAAGTGTATTATCCCGGCAAAGATATCTCGCTAGATGAAGCTTTATTACTTTGGCGTGGGCGATTGCTATTCCGTCAATACATTCCAAACAAAAGTGCAAAACACGGAATAAAGTTATATGAACTTTGCACTTCTGATGGTTACATACTTGATTGTTTGGTATACACTAGGAACAGTCGAGGGGAATGAAGGTCACGCTCATTCAGTAGTTACGAAACTCTGTGAGCCTTACCTTGATAAGGGTCATACGTTGTACATGGACAACTACTACAATAGTGTGAAGCTGGCAGAGTTCCTCCATACGCGTAAGACTCATGTGGTAGGAACTCTAAGGAAAAATCGAAAAGGGAATCCCAAGAAGGTTATTTCGTGTAAACTGCGCAAAGGAGAAATGACTTTCCAGAGGAAGAGAAATGTCATGGTTTTGAAATAGAAGGATAAGCGTGAAGTCCTTCTCATATCGACATTACATAAACTGGATGTTGATGAATTTTTGGATAAGCGAGGAAAAAAGAAAATGAAGCCAACCGTGGTGATTGACTATAACAGGAACATGTCAGGAGTTGACAGGAGTGACCAGATGTTATCCTATTACACTACTCCCAGGAAAATTGTTAGGTGGTACCTGAAAGAGTTTTTCCATTTCGTGGACATATGCCTATGGAATGCAACACATTTGTACAACAAATTAAATCGAAAAAGGCTGTCATTTCTTCAGTTTAGAGAGATTATTGTAATTGAGTTCCTGAAATAAGCCGAGGAAAAAGCCAAAACTACCACAGGGAACCAACATTATCCAAAAAAACAGGACAAACGGAGAAGATGTAGAGTATGCTCGGTAAACAAAAAGAGATCACAGACTTTTTACGTTTGTGAGATTTGTAAGGATAAAGACGGACAAATGATTGGCCTTTGCGTGGACAATTGTTTCCAGGAATACCACGAAGGCTCTAAGGATTAACTATCTTCTCGAGTGTTTTTTTGGTCCTATGTTTTTCACCAAAGAATTTGATTGTTTCTGTTATGTTTTTTGATATTTAGAATTACTCTCTTTGTATTTTGATGCAAATATATTTTGTACTTTGCATAGTGTACTCTTTTGCGATGTCTTATATATGAGACACTTGGTCTATTCTTCGCTCGATCACAAGCCAGGTCGTGTCATAGACCGACGTCTCATATATGAGTCAGATCAAAAATGCTCAGAAATTTCTCACAAAGTGTATTCTTAGCCTATAATCACTAAAATGTACGTGAAACTCGGTTTATAAATGATAATATCGCAATATAAAAAGTTAGTCTGTGGCGACACACACAATTTTAACCCGTGGTAGCAAACGTGTTAAGGGGCAACCCTAGTTAAATTTTTGAAAACATTGGCTTAAAATTAAGCACAATTTAAAATTGAGACTAGAAAGGAATTTTGCTTTATCTGCCATTGATAAACTAAATTTATTAGATTAGGAAAAACAACACGTTAGGTTAAGAAAAACACAACGTTAGGTTAAGCCTTTAGAATTAATGACTAGACCCTACCCAGCGATTCAGTCCCGACATTTAGTTAGAGACACAGACGACAACAACATGACTCAGCAAAACCAACCTTCAGTAGTGCCATTAGACTTACAGCGAGTGAAAAACCTTTCCGGATTCATTCCTTATTTTGATGGATTGATGCTTCAAAATTTTTTTGATGCCGTAGACAATTTGTTTGAAGCAAATCCGACAACAAATGAATTTCATATATTAATATCAAAATTCTGCTGAGTGCCATTCGAAATAAAATTTAAGGTCGAGCGCATATCTTGCTTTCTAGCCGTCCTGACATTGCAACGTCGACTGATATAAAAGCTTTGTTCATCCAGAACTTTAGCGATAACAGAAACCTTTTAACCTTAGAACAGGAAATGCAATATATACGATATAATCCGAAAGAATCTCTATTAAGTTTTGGTAATCGATTAATTGAATTAAAATCTAAATTAATAACGAAAATTCAGTTATCAAATCTTACTTTAGAAGAAAAACGTGGAGATATTAGTCTTTACGAACGCCAAATTTTTAACCGATACAAAATGAATTTGCCACAAAATTACGAAACAATTTTGCGAAATAACCCGACAATTTCCACTCTTGAGAATGCCATTACTTTTATAGATGAGCAAGTTAAATATGATGAATATAAAAAACTGTTCTTGGGAATACAACAATAACAACGCCCTTCGTTACCTTCACACACACCCCATAACCCTCAAAGAACTTTTCAGAATTTCCATCCAAACTTCAATCAAGGCTTTCAGAAACATTTTCAATTTGGACCACAGGCTTTCCCTTCTCAGCCCATTAATTTCCAACCTAGACAACACAATTTTCAACATTTTCCAACCAATTCACAAGTATCTGGTAGACCTCAAAACTTTTCTAGACCTCCTCAGACTTCTTATAAGCCTACTCCTATATCAGGTGTATCTACAATTGAAAACCAACCTATTTCGCGATCATTCAACCAAGTAGCTAAGAAAACTGTTCCCCCAGAACTGCACTGCCAAGAAGATGGACAACCGGAAGAAAACTTTATGCCTTACAAGTAGTAGAACAACATCGATTCTAACTCACTTGGTAACCCATCCATCAGGTTCTGTTCTGATTGCCCTCTATTTGACCTTGGGTATCTGAAGACTTTGCAGACATGCAAGAAGTGTATCGTCAATGACCAGAGGGTGAGATGTGCCAAAACGTGACGTCATGTATGCAGAAAAAAGGCCTAAATACCACGTGACCCACAAAAGTGAGTAGTGATTGAGAAAAGCTTTATGCATATGCAAGAGACAAGCCTCGCCTAGCCAAGCCTAATTTAAATCATCCTCTAGTCATAATAATAATAATAATACTAATAATAATAATATGGGAAGTAAATGAAACGACGGCGGTAGTGTGATATTGTATTCATTCCAATTTTTGGTTTGAAGCATTAGATATAAGATTCCAATTAAATAATAAATGAACATTTTCTAAAGCACAATGCATATTATTATACAAATGTTTATAACAATGTTTGTACTGGAATATCTTCTTCAGCTTGCGAAGATTTGGGCATCCTATTTCATGTAGATCGGTGATGTGATTAGTGATGAGTCTTTCCAACCATTGTTGTTTTGAGCGTCCCTTGACAAAAATTGGTTCATCGTGGACATTTTCTTTAATGAACGATGTCAATTGTTCATAATGAAGACATGACTCTTCAGAAGGAGATAGATCCCAAGGAATTCCATGTAAATTGTTTACAGTCCAGTTGATATGTGACTGTGTGCTACTGTTGAGCATTGTAAATTCTGCAGGTAGATTAACTAATTTGTGTTGCCAGTATCCCGTTGCAGTATCCATGATAGCAATTTCTTTGCAAATGAAGTTGGATCCACAAGTAAAGCCTTGAACGTCGATAATGATCATTTTTGTTTTGTCTGTTGAATGTCGAATGCAAACGCTGCACAAGAAGCCTGTATATGAACTGAGATTATTTGTTAGGTAATATTCTTTTTATGTATCCAGCTGTCATGTTTCTTATCGAATCCCAACCATCTGACTTTGATATGGTCTCCTTTTTTTCCAATATTTTTTCTATAAGATAAACATCAGGATGTTTTACCTTTTGTAGTTGTTCTGTATAAAAGCCTCCTAAAATATGTTGATTTTTTTCATCTTTCAACAAATATGTAATTGGATTAGTTAATGTTACTTTTCGTATTGTGAAAATTTCAGGTGACCAATTTGGTTGATATTTTTTGTCAAAAACACCTCTTATTTTAGAAATGCGTACATGATCACCTACTTTGAATTTTGTTTCCAAGTTTACAATTTTCAAGCGATTATATACAGTAGATAACAGCCTTCTTTCATCCTCCTTTGTGACATCAGCTGGTTTCATTTGAATAGTTCTATGCTTCTTATTGTTATATTGTTCTACCAGTTTTGGTAAAATACTTATCCATTTATAATTTCCCTGCAGACTGAACTCTTTCCACATCATATTTTTTAAAGTTCGATTTACTCTTTCGACAATGGCTGCCTTCTTTTCGCTGAATGTATTGTAGTGATTGATATTATATTTCTTCATTAGGTTTTTAAAATCATTATTGAAAAATTCCAATCCAGCGTCTGTTTGTAGATTCTTAGGTGTTTCTTGTTTTAGTACACTTTCCATAGCTTTTGTTACCACTTTACCTGTTTTATTTTGTAAAGGTAAAGCCCAAACAAATTTCGAAAAACAATTTATCACAACCAGTATATATTTATTGTTTTTATTTTCCCTCGAGTATGGTATCATTTCTACAAGATCTGCTTGGAAAAGATCGTGTAGAGATTTCACAATGGTTTTTCTTCTTTTGAAATTTCTGCGTGCAGGCTTATGTAGTTCCTCAACAACTTGGCGTTTTATGTTCGTTTTATGTGTTTTAACCATTATTCAATATATTTACTTTCCCTTAATTCCTCAACTAGCGAATTAATCTCATTACCATGACCTGAGTGACCGGCAGCCTGTGATGCAATCAATAAGCGTAGACGACTTACAAGTTCATTAGGATCATCCCAGTATATATAATCCTTATCATTGCTAGAATATTCCATTGTCGTGGTAATATTTTTATTGTTCATTAATCCTTGGCCCATTTTTAAAGGAGGTGCTATGATTTTTTTATATTTTTGTAGTTTACTCCCATCCAATTGAGTATTAGATCTGTAGTACTTTCTGTGGGCATTAGTTTTATATACAATTTGCCTGTAGGTATTGACATCGTCAGAACTGCAGAAATTCATGTTGGGATATTTTCTAAATAACAATTCGTATAAGCCTTGACTACCCTTGTACCGTTTACCTTTCACATATATATCAGCACCATTGAAGTCTAGTTTAGAATCACCAATCATAAATTGTTCTATAGTGTCATCCAGCCTGACGCCATACTTATGATCAAATTCTCGATTATTTTTGTCTGCATACATTTCACTAATGTATTTTCTAGGTAACGGGTCCTCATATTGTTCTAAGTATTCAGTAAATGACTTTTCTGCAATATCATCAAATCTGTTTCTATTAGCAACATTATCATTACCCGATCCAGTCGAATCATTGTCTTCCTAATCAGAATTTATACCATCTATGATTGATTTTTTATGCTGCTTGGTGGATTATCGTCATCATAATCAGAGTTTTCCTCACTGTTAGCGATTGTCCTTGTTCTTGGTGTCACTGATTGAAATGATAATAGTTTTCTTTTACGTGCTTCAGACATAGCTTTAGGAGTTTCCCATGCTGCCCCCCTTCATTAGATGCGAATAGTTTTGTTTCAGGCCTTATATCAGCTTCAGCTACTGTATAGGAACGTGGTGATGTTGGTGGTGGTGGTGGTGGTGAGGTACCAGGTACCGTGTTGGTATTATTTTGAAGTTTAGATTCGATACTTCTCAAATGTTTTGTAATGGGATTGTACAAGGCTTCTTGTAACATTTCTCCATGTTTCAGTTGATACAATTTTCTTCGAACATTTTGACGCTTCAATATAAGTCTTTCTTTGAGACTTCTTCCAGTTAAAAGTTTTCCCATAGGTGCTAATTAGACTTCGATCAGGTGGTGAACGGCTTGTGATCAGGTGATGATCAGGTTTTCATCAGTTGTCGATCTGTTCTGAACGCATCGGATGAGAATTATCCATATAAATAAAATGATCTATACCCTTTCTATATCGACCGTTGTCAATGTTACAGTCTTTAAATATGACTAAAAAATCATATGAATTTTCCCAACATACAGTGCATATACGTTTAAAATTATCAAATGACATATCTGAACCAACATGATCATCATATATATGTTTTAAGTTTAAATCATCCTGCTTGAAAACTATAATGATATTGGCATTATCCTTTATTAGATGTTTAGGTATTTTTGCATATGTTTGACACAAGTAGAAAGAATCTATACTGTTATGTCTTCCCATGCTGAAATATTCTCTGATAACATCTTGATTATCGCATGCGACATCATCAAAAATAAATATGGAATTTGGTTTGGCATCTGAAGGATGTAAAATGTTGTCACTAGCATTGAATGGAAAATATTTTATCCCTTTTATTGGTGTTAATAATTCTGCCAAATATGTATATTTTGGTTGATACAAAGACTTTGAATACACATAAACATTTTCAAATTTTAACCCGTTTTCATGTTCAACTAAATTGATCATAAGATTTGTTTTTCCGCAATTAGAAGGTCCAACTATAATACATCGCAACGTTGAAGTAAACAGCTCGCCATGTTTTTTGATAGACTTATCTTTGAATATATCATTGTTGTCAATATCTAATGTTGTTTTTTGTTTAACAATTTTCATCTTGTTCAAATAGTACTGCACTGCAGCAACAATGAAACTGATTACAGCGCGTGAATGTATTCATTTTTCAAACCATCTCTTAATGATGAAAAGTGAGGGAAGGGGAGAAATAAAGAAAGGATATTTTTTTGAAGACGTATTTATTGTTTTAATATTTTACCCAATCTGTTCTTTTTTCTTGGATGCCGGGTCTCGCTTGAAAGCATACAGGACAAAATCTGACAAATACATTCTGTGGTTCCCAGCCATTTACGGCGGTCGCTGGTCGTTCATGTATAATTTTTCCACATACACCACATCTGGTCACCTCGATGACGTGTGCTATAGCGTATGTCCAACTTCTCTTTCTTTGGGGTCCTTTTCTCGAATAAAAGATTTGCCAGGAATCCATCCGCTCTCTTGCCGCCACCGCTCATCAGACATCCTTTCTAGTCGTCCTTTGTTGTTGTTGTTGTTGTTGTTGGTTTAGGACTTGGGCAGTTCCTCGTCGCAATACAGCTCCACTTGTTTGTATTGATGTAGTAGTTGTTGTTGTTGTTGTTGTTGTTGTTGCTGATCTGATGCCGTTTGTCCTATTGAATGCTTTGCCACCGATTCTCTACAAAAACAAAAGTAATGTCCACAATTGTCACAGAACTGAGTTCCTGAGTGAGTGTTGTTGTTGTTGTTGTTGTTGTACTGTCTCTTAGAAATAGTCGTTGGTCGTATTCGTTTGTTGGGTTTCGTGTAGTGGATTTTTTGAAATCTTTTTTTTGAACTTAGCACGTTCTACAAAAAACAAAAAAAAAGAATACATATATATACTTACATTTTATTGTGTGTGGCTAAAGTTAACGTGGTTGTAGATTAATTCTATGGACAAAAACAGACAAAGAGATAATGAAATGTAGTGAAATTAAAAGTAATCATGATATCCCCATGGTTTCGTGTCTGTATAAATATAGTTGACAATTCTTTTATCGTCATATGGACTCAATGCAATTTTTTGTTGGGAAATTGTGAATACATCATGCAATTTCGAAATTATGGACTGTTGGGTTGAAGCTACTTGAGTATTTTGGAATAAACATTTATGGTAATCATCAAACGTTATTTCCTTCAGAGCTGACTTCTGAATTCCTTTAGCTTTTTTAATAACATGCGAGTCTTTTTTTTCACCTGGCTCAGGTAGAAGTCTCAAAGCATATATTTTTGAACGCAACCCAATAAAATGTGTCATTATTCGACCTTGATTTTCATCCTTCATTAAACCTAAGACTTTTTTATTTTTCAATGGAATTCTAAAAGCGTTATTTTCTGGATAATCGGATGTATCAAACCTATCAATGTCTTTTTTGATGTGTTCGTAAATGTCATCAATATTTGAAAACTGATATATTAAGCTATCTGTATCAGTATATAGCAATTTTGAATCATCTTTGAATTTGTGTTTTATGTAATTGTAATGAAAATCATGTATATAAGTTTTAGATATGTCCAATATTGACACCTATAAAAATTGGTTTGTTTAAAGTAGCTTTCAGTCTGTTCATTTCAATTATGACCATATCTTTACTAAATATAGTGCAGCTATGAAAGTTAGGTTGTGCAATGTAGTATCTTGCACCATATCTTCCTGACCACTTAGTTACCAACTTGATGTCTTTATATTTCCTAACATTTTCAATCGTTTTGCCATAAGGGGAATTATTCATTAATTTGAAAAAAATTTTCTCGAAATCATTCTTACTTTGCTTTCTCAGCTCTGTATTGAGATCAATGTATTTTTTTTAACCAAGCTGACTGTTTGAATCTCAAACAACGATGAACTTTTCTGATGACAATACCCAGTTGCGTAGCTTGTTTTAGTAATGTATAATGGACGACATACTTTTGTTTATCGTACAAAGTTGTTAACAATTTTGGTTTATCAGAATACGAAGTAGGTGGTACTAAAAGCTCAGGACATATTGGCAGATCTTTGTGTAGATCGCGTAAATGAAAGGGATAATGTAGATCAACTTCTAGGATGTACCCATATTCATTTTTCTCATCGCTCAAAATATTTTCAATAGAGATGTTTTCAATTGGAATCCATTGAAAATCCCCATATGGTAGAGAATGTGACATTGCAGCTCCATATAAGTTATTTATATCGTAGTACATCAAAAACGAAGTTGGTAAATCAGGATTATATTCACTATTCATATATTTATTGTTAGCCTTACCGTACCTGTTAGAACATTGAGATATACCTCCTCTGATACCTTTTTCTATGAACAAAGCCATATCACTGTCAGTCAACAGCTCTATTTCAACATTAGTGACTTTAAGCATAGCATCAAAGGCTAGACCTGGCGTAGTATAATAGTGCAATGCATCTAAATTGTATGTCTGCATACACATTTGACGGAAATTTTCGAAAACATCACAAAGCAGCAAAACATCAGTTTTTAAGTATAATTCAGCGTATTCCTGAAGATCTTTAATGTTAAATGCCTGCCAAACATTTAGTGCATGCTGATAGTCATCAGTCGAAATAGCTTCGTTTTTGACTGTGCTAAAAAAATCGTCTTTTTCTGGCAACTTTGTATCTTTTAATTTCTCCCATGAATTTAGATATTCATAAGGAAAAACCCCCTTCTTTGTTACCAACTTAAACTTAGCATCTTCAGGAAAATGTTCCCTTACTATTTTCTTTTGATGATGATCTAGATATGATGATAATTTATCCAGACTACTAGGTAGGAACCGGAAGGAATCAAGAAATCGAAAACTGATTTTAGTACCGGCAATGGATTTTGTAAACGAAATATAACGCTCTTTATTTAAAGGTAATAAAGTGAGATTGCCCTTGATATCAGTGCTGAGAGCTTTGATTATGAAATGTGCATCGTATCCAGAAAAATTGTGGAACAACACAGGTACAATAAGTGAATTTGAATAGTTCAAGTTGCAAGACATATGTACTGCTCCTCTATATTTACCTGTGAAGTGACAATGATCTCTAGCTTTCACTTCGTGTTCATCAAAAGGTTTCTCACAAATACTACAACTGGAAGCCAATCGGAAAAGTTTCTGCTCAACACTGGTCAGTTTTGATGGTTCTGCTTCCTGATAAACTTTATGAAGTTCATTGGCAATGTTGAGCAATTCATTAACAAACCAACTTTGACAATCAGCACCCGTATGCAATCTAAACTTGGAAGAATATTTATTTCCATAATTCGACTTAAGATAATAAGCTACGCTGAAGGCCACGTGCTTTTGACACTTTTGTGTCTTGCTTGCACTATTATCATCAGCATTATCATTATAATCCATTAGTATACTTTCAATATCTGCATAAATGGTAAAAGGAACACATAATTTATTGTGAAAGTTTTTAAATTTCATAATATTATTAGTTGCATTAGGCATAACGATCTTAGTGCTGTTAAGCTGTTTACAATGTTCAGAATGCTTACTCAAATAAGCTTCACTTGAAAAATAATTTAGACACCTTTCACAAATCCATTTTTTGTGATCTTTCCAACCTATTTGTCTACATATTAGGCGTGACAAATTTTTTATATACGCAAAATGATAAATAGTGTCAGCATTCCAATTGCAAACATCATTATTGGAAAACATAAGTAAATTGATTTTAGGCGTGAAATTAGTTTTACTAAGTATCAATGGTACAACTTCATTCATTCGATTGCCTACGAGTGTGAAGACATTTATCGCTAGTTTGTTCATAATCTCAAATTTGGGTATATCTTTCAAATGTATAGGAAATCTAATATTGTCGTATTTCAATACTCTACTGAAATGAGGATATGATGATTGTCGTGCTACATTTTTTTCTGCAGGATACAACGCGCTTACAACTGACCACAGAAAGCAGTAATTATCATTATTTTGAATATTGATGACACTTTTTTTCTTTTTTATAAATGTTGGTGTAGGAACATAAGTTGAAACACCAACATTTATGGGACAAAATCTATTAATATTCACTTTCAAATGTAAAATTTCCAACAAAGGCCATCCAGAATCACGTTCTTGGAATTCTTCTAATTTTGTTAAAACTTGATCAGTGACATAAACTTTATACCACTCTTTTAAATTGGTATTTTTATCGATTATATTATTTTTTGTAGCAAAATGTTTGATGGATTTTTCAGCAGTCTGAGGTTTAATGAACACACTATAAAAAACAACGTTACATTTTAACATACAAGTATCAAGCTGTTTTCTTATTTGTATCGCAAAACTTTTGAACGCTCTCTTGAAAAATAATTTTGGATCTTAAAACTTGATCAGTGACAAACTTTATACCACTCTTTTAAATTGGTATTTTTATCGATTATATTATTTTTTGTAGCAAAATGTTTGATCGATTTTTCAGCAGTCTGAGGTTTAATGAACACACTATAAAAAACAACGTTACATTTTAACATACAAGTATCAAGCTGTTTTCTTATTTGTATCGCAAAACTTTTGAACGCTCTCTTGAAAAATAATTTTGGATCTTTTATTTTCAAATTAACTATAACGCTTGACTTAATTCTATTGTTAAAGCATGAATCCACATTTTCCCAAACAAGTTCTCTATTTTTGTTTTTACGATTTATTTGACATCTGAAAATTGCAAGGTAACTCTTAAGAAGTGACAAATTAGACTCTATTTTTGGAAAATTTTTAACACAATCATTCCTATGTTTGATACAATTATCAAGCATTCTAATACATTTTTTAATCTCTTTACTATAAAAATTGTAATCTGTTTTTGTCCTAACTAATCTACTCACCATTTCTATTCTTCTAACAAATTCGTCAGACATGGCATCGATTACTTTTTGGCTACTCATTTTGTTTCTTCGGAGATCTGTGCAGATGGTTAAACGTGAGATCACTGATGATAACTGTGCTCAAGATGCTGGCTTAAATACAGTGAAAATCTAACAAACATGCCTATTTTTTTTTTCACTGATACTGAATCATACGATTTTGTTTGGAAAACATCCTACGCACATCAGCAGATCACATGGAGAATAACGATGATGACAATCCTCCTGCTGACCTTAAATAGATACTATATTTTGTTTGGATAAACATGCACATCTGCAGAAAAATCTAATTTTTCCCTTGATATGGAGAATGACGTAGATGATGATTACCGTCGTCGTCCTCGTCCTGACATTGGATATCAATTTTGTTTGGAAAAACATGCACACATCCAGAAAAATCTAATTTTTCCCTTGATATGGAGAATGACGTAGATGATGATTACCGTCGTCGTCCTTCTCCTGACATTGGGTATCATGCAATTCTGGAATCCTACGATTTTGTTTGATCATAACATCCATCTTACATTTCTATGCAGTTGATATGGATGATTTTTTCCTCAAATATCTGTATAAATTGCTAGTGTGTGTAGGCAGTCAGTATCAGTTTCAAGTGAAAACTCATCGAACTGCTACTCTAACTTACAATGGCAACAACACCAACAACCATAATTGTGTTCACGGAAGATCCAGTGAATTTACCGATAAATGACCTCTTGTTGGTCATAAAGGAATTATTTCAGTAAGTAACATTATATATTTATCTTTTGTTCTCTCTCTCTCTCCACTGTTTTGCTATTGCTATTGTGTTATTATTATTGTTGTCCTTCCACACATTATGGTAATGTTGTGGATGGATGGATCATGTTTGAAGATACTCTAAAGCATCCCAAAAGAAATAAAACAATCACCTGGTCTGCCAGTAGATATCAAGTTCTATTCATCATATCCTCAGAGCTAAATTATGTTAAGTCACAAAAGTATTATTGCGAGAAAAACATGAGTTTACAGGGTTTTTTTTTGTATGGTTTTATTTGATTGCAATTGCACGATTTGCAATTTTAGATTTAAATCAGATATTCGACAATAGTTTACTTTTAGGTCTGAGATACACATATTATATTATTCTTATTCTTTTTTCTTTTTTCAACAGATACGGTGTCAGAGAGATCAAAGCCAGTGGTGACAAAATATTTGTCAAATTGACCTACTCCCCAAGAGCAGCGACGTTAAAGCGGAAATTCGGCTTGCTGCCTATCAAATATCTTCGAACTAAATTGGATAAAGATGCAGAATTCCAAGTATTAGAACGAATAGTTAAAAATATAGATTTAATTTATTAGACGAGCAGTTAGAAGATATTAATAGGCAGCAAGCGATAAAGGATCGACCAGGGACAAGTGGTGGTGGTGATGGTGGTGGAAGTATGCAGAAGAAGAGAAAATTGTATCTAGAGCCACCTGTCCTGCAACATGTGGAAGAGGATGAGGAGGAGAAGGAGGAAGAGCATGAGGAGCAACCCAGGCAGATGCATACACACACACACACACACACACATACACATACATACATACACACATACACACTGTTTCTATACAATACAAGTTCAACATATTTTTCAAAAAACTTTTACATTACTATTTAATGGATTATATTTTACAAGACGATCATGTAATATCAGACAAAAGGCAGTAGTATTAGGTGGTATATTTACTGCCGTTTCAAATTCCAATCTAATATCAACAGAACCCGATTTTAGTGTCTCGTTTTGCCTACTACAGTCAATAACAAAAAGCGGGGTTGCACCAATGAACTGTTTCATGTTTTGACACGGCTCACTGGAATTTCTATAATAATAAGACTGCTGAAAGTTCACATACATTTCATACAAGATACTAAAATAATTTCTGCTCATATTAAGTTACATTGTCATATGGATAAATTTCAGAATTCAAAAGTAATTTGATGTTGCTCAGATTACAGTGATCAAAGTGACTCAAGTTTTTAGTCAGCTGTCCTTTCCGATCAGTTTGAAAAGCAACAATAACGAAACGTGGTTTTTCCAATTGATTGGTAGCCTTGACATTCCATGTATGTTTATTTGTCTGTTGTAAAACGGGGTACTCATGCAACTCCCAACTCCGGAATGCTAGTTGTAAATCTCTTCCTTTCTCTATGTACTTCATAAGGTGTAATTTTTCGGTATCAGCAACTTGAATGTGTGGAATTCTCCATAGTATTCTGTACAGATCTAAATGAGGTTTCTCGCTAGATGTTGAAGTTATAATTGCATTCACATCTGTGGAGCTTCTTATAAGGACCAATTCCTGTCTGATGTTGATTAGTACTTTTTTAAAGTCTTCAAAAAAACCCATGAGATTTTTCAGTGGAATCGTTACACTAAAATAACCTTCACTGTTCCGTATTTCGGGTAAGTCTTGATGATTCCAGCCTGCATGTTGGTAACTATTACCTTCATTGTTTGTGAAAGATACCAGTCCTTTAATGGTGGTTGTTATACCAGGATTGCAACAACTATACCTCCAATTTCATATCGCAATTCATCAAATAAAAATGATACAAAATTATTTACGAGGCGTAATGTTGGTGACCATTTCTTCTCCTTTGCCTCTACTAATCTTCCTTCAATGTACAGTGAGCTATTACAAGGTAGTGTATAGATATCTTGTGTTTGTATTGGTATTCTTATTTCATCTGAATTATTGAAAGTTGTATTAGCGTATGGTGGATGGCTATGCATTTCACAATTGGTAATTGAATTATCCATAAGAATATTTTCACCTATGTTGAGAATATTAAAGCTCATCTTTTTTCTTTGTTTTATCAAACAGCTACACTTGAGATGGATGAATAACTTTTGTAGTTCAGAATAAATTGCTAGTTTTATGCGTAATACCAATCCGGCAGTCCTGCTGCTGCTGTTTCTACTATTAATGTCACTATTGACTGTTTGTTCTTGAAATTCGTTAGCCACACTTATGCAATCACCTTAAAGCCAAGCAACTGTAGAAATTGTATATTTTCAGATGTTAATGTCTTGCTCTCTTGTTTGCTACTAACTGTTTTACCAACATGAATCTCTTTATCAATAGGTGTTGATCTGTTTTGACCTTTAAAATTGCTGTTGTTGGTGCTATTGTTGTTAGCTGAACTAAACGGTACTGCAATATTGTAAAAGAATACCATACTAAAGCTCCCTCAAATGTACTCTTATCGTTATCACTTCTCCTTTGAAATTAACCAAATTTCCGTCTTGATCCACTACTTTAAGCACTATTTCATCAATATAATGGATATTTATTGGTAAATAGATGCCATTTGATACTTTTTCTATTATGCGATATCCACTAGGCACGTTAGGGTAAAACATATGCAACGTGTGAACAGCATGATCATTTCTAAAAGAATTCGTTATCAGATTACATTCCACACATATAGAGTTCACTTTGGAAACATTTACAGGAAAATCTGAGATGTGTAGTTTGTGTGGATTTAATTTTCTCTTTCTAAACCCTAATAACTCACCTATTGTACCATTTTGCTCAAAATCAATTAGTCGGTTGCTTTTAATTTCAAACCGTAAGGTATTTAAATTACTTCGCATATGGAGTTGTATGTCAGTTTGTTTCTCATCATCTTTGGTAATTGCATTTGAATTTAGAGATCATTTCTGTGGTTTCTTTTTTTTAATTTCACTTACCCTTGGTTTTATTCTCTCGTTAAGAAATGCTATAATGTCTTTTATTTCATAACTACCTTCGGGAACTGTTTAAACCTCATCATCAATATGGAACTTATTATTTGTTATATCTATGTTGGGTATTGTGTTGAAAGTTAAAAAATCAATAAGTCCTAAAGCATACGTTTTACTACTGTCGAGTACTATAGGTGGATAGATTTTAGCTGATAACACAGACTCTCTAGCAGATAAAGTAAACGTATACATCATACAGATATGAACCGATGAATAGCCATACATGAAATAAACAAGTGTCATTATGGTAAGCAGTATTTATTCACTTTTGAGAAAACGTAAACACAATTGACCACAATTTACAGTATTAAATCTTTGAAATACATTATAATTGTACTGTACTCTACAGGGTCCACTAGAATTAAAATATACAATTGCTTCGAATGGTGGTTCTAAGTTTCCATATGTATCCAGGTAAACCACTAAGTTTCCCTTTTTCTTATAAGCAGTCCAGTGGGTACCTGGTCCCGTAGATGTATCCAAATTCATAATTCCTCTTTCATTGGTTTTTATTTTTTTGGGAAGTTTATCTCGCATGAAGACTCCTCGAAAATACGGTATTTTTAAACGTTTTGCATACCTTTCCAGCTCAACGTTTGTTAATGGGTGACCATTTGGAATTGAAACTTTAGCCACTTGTTTTGTTTTTTTCAGTGACATTTTCCCTTATCTCACTACTGGTTTTAATTAATGTATGGTTTCAGGAAAAGGCCCATTCCCGTTTTATAGGGTTTCAAAAACATTCCCTTTCCAAGTGCTACAGCTTCCATCATTTTATTATGACGTTGAGATTCTTGTAATTGCTGCTTTGCGGATTTTGCATCATTGACAGCCTTAGCAATACCAGCAGCACCACCAGACAAAGCACCAAGGGCTGATAGGCCAGCAAAAATTGGGATTAGTGGTAGTATACCTCCTTTCTTCGGTATCTTCACTATACGATTTGGCGGCTTTTTTACACCTTTTTTCAAATTTTGTGCCTCCCTCAACGCTACAAGTATTGCTTCTCCAAAGGTAGTAGGTTTTTGATCTACCACACGTTTCCCTATTTGTTTAATTGCGCTAGAAAAGCTAACTTTCCTTCTTTTTATTTTACTGCTCGATATACTTTTCGTTTTCCTCTTAGTCTTTATTTTTTTTTCTGATGCTGTGATCGTTGTTGTTGTTGTCGGTCAATTGTAGCTCTTTTCTTAGGACTGACATTCTTCTTACGTACCATTTTCATTACTGAATTTGGATGTGTAGATTACTAGGTATTTATAACTTTAACTTTCCTAGGTATGTTACTATCATCATCATCATCATCATCATTATCACGATCATTATCATTATCTGGTTGAATCTTCCGTTTTCTATTTTTTTGTTTCCATGGATGTGGAATTACGTCACTCATATCTAACTTGCGTTGTTGTTGTTCGTTTTCTTCATTATCAGATTCTCTCTTACGTTTTGTATTGCATTTTTTCTCAGGAATTATAATTGGATCATCCAAATCTATTTTTCTTTTTTTCACTTTTTCATCATTCAATGAAGTACGAGTATTAGTAAAGGCTGAATCCAGTTTCCTCTTTTTTGGTTTGTTCTTTTGTCCTTCTTCTGTTATATCAGTGTCCATGTATTCAATTGGGGTCTTTGGTTTTTTCTTCTCTTGATTTTTTCATTTATGCTTTCTAAAGCAGACTTTGTTTTTCTGCCACGTTTATTCTCTTTAACATTAGGTTTTGTTTTTCGTTCACGCTTTACTTTGAATGTTTCATGTTTTACTACAGAGTTATTTTTGGTTTCGTGTTTCTTGATTTCTCTCACTTCTCGTACTTTTTTCTCACTAGATTTACTTTTCTCCTTAACCTTCGCAAGTATATTTTTTTGAGCTTTTTGAGATTGTTCAGTTTGTAGGATCTGTATCAGAGTCTTGAACCAGTTTTTGAGACCCCTGTAATTCTTTCGCTAATTTATGTAATTTCTTCAAACAATTGTTTATATTACGTTTTTGGTGCCTTTGAGAGGTTTCTTTTAAGCCCATTCCAAGTTTTACTTTAGCTTTCATAGCACCTGCTACAGCTAAAGTGGCGACCTTCTCCTTCCAAGACGAATCACTTGCACGAAACCTATTCATTGCTTGTTTTGCCAGCACCTTATCAGCCAAATGCCGATTACTCAGATCTTTTTCTTTTGAATAAAATATATCGTGTTGTTTACAAGCTTCATCCAATCCGTTCACACCTGGATCATTTCTGGCTAACCTTTCAGCAAGCTTAGTGCCAGGACCTCAGTATCTGTACGTTGGGATGTGTAATTCTACAGGTAAATTATTTATAGCTGTATTCAGTAAGCCTTCACCACCGTAGTACTTCATAGCACATGAGTGATAACTGAACTGATATATTTAATCGTTTGCGTTACTAGTTATAATAATCTAGTTGGTTCATGCTGTTGATTAATACGCTGCTAGTGATTAGTACATCAACAAGTAATGCCTTCATATATTTGCGTTTCATGCTGGAAAAATACCGAGTTCACCATACAAGTGACTCTTCAATACACAAACATACGACAAAGAAAAATGCAATATTGTTCTGTTTGTGAAACGTTTACAATTTGGCTGTTAAATGAAGAATAGTAATATTTTTCACCCTCCTCCTCCTCCTCCTCCTACCCTTTCGGACAATATAAAAAGACAGTATGAGACTTAATACATATATATATATATATATATACCATTCAAAGGAAGAACACTCTCAGAGATGAATTGTCTGGATTTAGTTGAAATTGCTGCTGCTGTTTTAGCCATTCAGTTTTTTACCCTAACAACGTGCTACCAGAATGAACCAGTTGTAGTTGCTGATCAGATATTCAACATCGAAGACGGAGTTTTTTACCTGTATGAGTTACATAATTATGGAAGAACAGAATTAAAGTCGTATCCAGCATTCTATTACTCAGGGAAAAAAATTCCCATCGACACAGAAATTAAAAATCAATACAATCGAACAATTGGATATGTAATTGGACAAGATCTGAACTATTATCCAGTCACAATGAAACGAAAAGGTACAATTATGTACTGTGGAAAATACAATATAAGGCAGTTGCTTCGACAGGGATACATTATTTTCAATAGAAAAACATATTCTATCAACAGTTTCAAAAACACATTCCATCATTTCGCAGCTTCAGATATAAGTTGTTTTATATACGATTAAATATATTAATATCATACTACCACCGTCGTTTCATTTACTTCCCATATTATTATTATTAGTATTATTATTATTATTATGACTAGAGGATGATTTAAATTAGGCTTGGCTAGGCGAGGCTTGTCTCTTGCATATGCATAAAGCTTTTCTCAATCACTACTCACTTTTGTGGGTCACGTGGTATTTAGGCCTTTTTTCTGCATACATGACGTCACGTTTTGGCACATCTCACCCTCTGATCATTGACGATACACTTCTTGCATGTCTGCAAAGTCTTCAGATACCCAAGGTCAAATAGAGGGCAATCAGAACAGAACCTGATGGATGGGTTACCAAGTGAGTTAGAATCGATGTTGTTCTACTACTCCTACATGTGAAGTAAATACTGAAACCAATTTCAATGACTCTGAAACATATGAACCATACTATGAAGAATGGAACTACGAAAACTTTTTTAACAATCAAGATCAACAAGTAGACGTACAAGAACAAAATTTTCGGAAGACTACCAATACAACGGATCAGACGTAGAACATAACGCCTTTTTTGCTGCACCTCTTGCCTATATTCAAATTCACCATCCACCAATGAAGTTATTAATTGATTCTGGTTCTTCTAAAACTCTTATTCGCCCTGATATAATTGAAAAATATTTTCCTGAAACAATTTTTAATGAAGGCTCCACAATCATAACTTGTGCAGGTCAAAAACAAACTAAATTTTTTGCAGAAATCCCCGCATTCGAAGAATTTAATTCCAATGAAGCGATTAAGATCATTCTATTCGATTTTCATAATTATTTTGATGGATTGATAGATCTCGATGTTATTACTAAATTCAACATTTTATTTCATTTCTCAAATAAAATATCTTATGGAGATAACTTTAGAATTCCACTCCATTTTCGAAATCCCAATGATACAATGAGACGTATAACTATAAATGCACATGAAATTGTGTGTACAACCATACCAATTACCATTGATATTGGAGATGTTTATATTCCAGAACAGAAATTTGGTAATTTAAAAATCCCTTCTACCGTTACGACCGCCGAGCATAACCAAGCTCTAGTCGAACTTCATATTTCCGACGAAACAGAAACCATATACATGGAATACCTCACTACTGCTTATCCCTTAGAATATTTTGAAACAAAAGCTTTTCTTACAACCCCTTCTGAACTTAAGCGACCCCAGATAGAATCTAATGATATCTCTAAATTAATTCGAACAGATCATCTTAATTCCGAAGAAAAACAACAACTTATTTCTCTTTGTAAAGAATTCAAGGATGTTTTCCTACTCCCTGGTCAACCTCTTTCTGTTTCAAACGATATTAAACATAAAATTCGTCTTTCTGATGACACTCCTATTCACACTCGCTCATACCGATTTCCACATATTCATAAACAAGTAATTACAGAACCAAATCAAAAAATGTTGACCGAAAATATACTAAGTGACATATAAATCCGAACACCCAGTTTAAATGGTTTTATTTTAATAAAAGTTGGTGAATGTATTTATCTTACTGTAAATAATAATAATAATAATAATAATAATAATAATAATAATAATAATAATAATAATAACCCGTTTGGAGTTGCTAGTCTCCCATCGGGCGCCTCCCTGTGCGAATTGGGAAACGCTCTCCAGATATGGAGGGTACCGGGGAAATAAAATACCCGGGGTGGACAAAAACTAGCACCACCGCTCTATGGGTTAGCACCCCATAGAACGTGTATATTTAAATGCTCTTAAAACGAGAAATAAGAGATACTCAGGCGGGCCGGCGCAGCAGGAGCCGGGTCGGAACCGTCTTGAAGATTTACCTGCAACCTACCGTGGCAATGAACAAGGACCAACCAGATTACCAACCCAGTCGAGTACACCACCACCAAACGTACCAAGCCAAGATGTCGGTGTTGCTGGGCCATCAGAGCCCATGCCCACCACGTCACAAGGCACAGTTAGGCAAAGAACCATGTGGACAGAAGAAATCAATGCATTCATGGTTCGCTGCAATTACAGATTAACCCGACTAGAAACCGCCAAAACTCCATACAGCCGAGAATTACATAGACTGGTAACTGAAAAATTTCCAATGCTTCGTCACAAGACTATACAAAATATCATAGACCAGCGAAGATCTATATTTATAAATAGACGCCTATCACCAGGTATTGTTACACAAATAAAGCGCGAAGTTGCGATAGAACTATCTATAAATATACCTGCTGATCTCCCCAATGCTGACGATGAACCAGCGGCCCCAGTACCACCATCTGCTGCTGAGCTGGAATTCGAAAGGGTTCATTTGCTTTATGATGGAATGGACCCTATGATGAAACCTAGACTTCCCAAAATAATTTATAATAACAAGACAAAATCTATATTGGGTGAAATCAACAAAATTCTGGATTCCAAAATAACAACTGGTATACCCATCGAAAATCTACACAGCCTTATTTATAGTGGAGCAGCAGCGGTGCTAACACTAAACAAGCACAAAATCTCCACGGACACTCAAGTTAAAAATGTCCCAGTCACGCCAGCATGGCAGCGCCGAATTACTAATAAAATCGATAGTATCAGGCGGGACATAGGAATTCTGACACAAAATCAAAGCTTGAACCCCAGCAGCTCAGTCACTAAGAAAGCCAAAGCCATTCTTGAAAGGGAACAAAGCCTCGAAAATCCAACAGCAGCAGAAATACTGGATCACCTTAAACAAAAACTCAAGGCTATGGCTAAAAAACTCCGACGGTATAAGGAAAGCAACACAAGACGTCAACATAATAGTCAGTTTAGCAGGAGTGAAAGGAGCTTTTATAAAAATTTAGAGTCTGAAGATCACGGGATTGAAACCCTGCAAGAAAATAAGGTCCCCACACCAGAGGCCATGAAAACGTTTTGGGAATCAACCTGGGGAAACCGTGTGATTCACAAAAATACCAGATGGCTGTTTGACGAGAGGAGGTCTACATCTAACCTATAGACAATGTTGGAATGGGAGGTAACAACCGATCAAGTAACCAAGGCTATAAACAAGACCTTGAAATGGAAGGCACCTGGACAGGATAAAATCCAAAATTTCTGGTATAAACAATTCAAGGTCATTCATCAACATCTAGCCAAATGTTATACTCACCTGATGTCCAACCCTGAAGAACTACCACCATTCATGACCAGTGGTATCACTTATTTGTTACCAAAAACGAAGGTGTCCTCAGACGATCCATCCAAATATAGGCCGATCACCTGCCTTCCTACAATATATAAAATATTCACGTCCATCCTATCGGAAAAGATATACAGCCACCTGGAAAGAAATAACCTGTTGGACGAAGAGCAGAAGGGTTGTCGAAAAGGATCCAGAGGGTGTAAAGAACAATTAATAATAGATACGGTCATCACATCTCACGCGAAACGCTCAAAAGGCTCTTTGTACACAGCGTATATAGACTATCAAAAAGCGTTTGACAGTGTTCCTCAGTCCTGGCTATCCGAGGTGCTGCAGCTTTATAAAGTCGAGGCCCATGTACTGAATTTACTGAACTACGCCATGTCTCAGTGGAAAACCAGAATTGTCTTAAACACCAACCAAAAAAGTGTAGATGCAGGTACCATTAAAATAGAAAATGGAAGATTCCAAGGGGACGCATTAAGTCCGCTATAGTTCTGTCTGCCGCTGCGACCCCTGACAACTATGTTGAATAGGCAGCGCAAAGGTTATATACTGCCACACTCAGACAAGAATATTAGCCACCTTTGGTACATGGATGATTTAAAGCTGTATGCAAAGTCTAAAAAACACCTCGACGACCTTCTGACTTGCGTCACCCGATTCAGTCGCGACATAAAAATGTCATTTGGGCTGGACAAATGTAGGACCAGCGGGATGGAGAAGGGCCAGTGGGTACATCACGCGGGATATGAAGTTGCTGAGCGGCAAACCATCGCCGGAATGGAAGAGGGAGAAAGGTATAAATATCTTGGATATCTGCAAGCAAGAGGTCTAGATCATACAGCAGCAAAGCAGACAGTAAGTGACACCTACATTAAAAGAATCCGGGCGATACTGAAGACTAAGCTGTCTGCCAGGAACATGGCAAAAGCAGTTAACACCTATGCCACATCTGCAGTTTCTTATAGCTTTGGAGTGATTCACTGGACAGCAACAGAACTCAAAAACCTCAATATCAAAACCAGAAAAGAGTTCAGCAAATTTCGAGCACATCATCCACGTTCATCATTGGAAAGGTTCCATTTGCCTAGAAAGTTGGGTGGAAGAGGTATACCTGATCTAGTTATTAACCACAACAGGCAAGTAACAAATCTTAGGAACTACTTCCTCGCCAGGGCTGCGTCCAGTGAGATCCACCACGCTATCATAAGGGCGGACAATAAGGCTGCTCCTTTAAGACTGGCAGACCAAAATTTCAGCCATAGCGTGGACCAGCTCATACCCGAGCAACAACTGCAACAATGGAAGAGTGAGGCACTTCATGGTAAATACCGCACCCTACTCGAGAGCGATAAGATCGATACCTTCGCATCCACGGCCTACCTCCGCTCTGGAAACCTGTTTGCTGAGACAGAAGGGTTCATATCTGCTATCCAAGATCAGGCCATCGCAACTAAAGTATATAAAAGGAATATAATGCGGGAACGACAAGACAATATCAGATGTCGTGTGTGCGGTGAAAAGGATGAATACCTGGACCACATCATCGCTGGCTGCTCAATGTTAGCACCGAAATCCTACCTAGACAGGCACAACAGAGTCGGAAAGATAATCCACCAAAGCCTTCGTGAAAAGTACATGGGATTGACAGAAATAGTGCCGTACTATTTATACGAGCCGCCTGCTGTGTGCGAAGATGAACAAACCCGGCTCTACTGGAATCGAAACATTATAACTGATAGACCGATAAGTAATAGTATACGGGATATCGTGCTCACTCTAAAAAATGAAAACAAAACATACATAGTAGATTT